ATTATGACTTCCATGGCGACGAAATCAGTATAACCCGAAATGTCTCGTCAGAAAAAAATCCTGTGAATCCATGGTGGAAACTAAATTTATCAGATCGATCATCTTTCTCGCTGTTCGTAACTATGCAAATGAAATTTGTCAGCGACTGATTGCTCTCGAAAAAATGAAGAGCAGGAGTATTTTTGAGCGCTCGTTAGCGTGCCTTCAATGGCACTACGAGCAACATTTGATGTGCAGCGGCGCGCGATATTTGGTCGTTAGCGATGTTCTAAAACCACCCGCGGGACTACCGTTGTGAAGTGCAATGACGTGAATTCCAATTCAGTGAAGGTCGCATTTTTGCGTACAACCGTTCTTTAGGCGCCTATGGCACCGAAATTTTATCAGCGAAAATAACGCTGAAATTTATATTTTTTCTAATTTAAACAAAAAAATCGGTATCTACCTCTCAGAACAACGAAATTTTTAAGAGAATCAGATTTAGTAGCTGACAAATAAACTTTTTTTAACAATTTATCATGATCAAATAATAATAATTATTTAAAGTTTGCCGGAAAATATGCCATATGGCTTTCATTGAACGGTCTCTCGAAATCTGAATTTTCCCAAATGATTTTATGCTGCGAGCTTCTTCAATTATTACGGTTAATAATAATTTATTACGAACACTGAAACCATCAACTACATATGATTAGGCTTGATTTATCATTGGCAAAGTATTCAATTAAAACTTAATTAAGACGAGTCAAATTCTATCATATTTTTAAGATAAGTGCTGAAACATTTAAATTATAAAATATTATGCGTAACATATGCGAATGCAAACAATTCTCTACGCTCCATGTAATGAGTAGACCGCCGGGAATTCCGACTTAACATAGAGACCATAAGCCGCGAAATTATTGTTCGTTGGAGAGAAGAGTTCAACTTAGCAGAAATAAACACCACCAATATCATGGCCTGAAGAGCTTGAAGACCAAGCCCTGTGTCAGTTTAGAGTCCAACATTTCGAGTCGAATAGACACGTTTAGGCCGGGATAAAGCAATGGTTATAGAGCCCAACGGCCATTCCTCGAAGGAACGCCAGACATATTTTGCTTTTGATGGGTGGGCTGATGTTGAACTGCAGCGCATTCTGGGCTTCATAGTCGTCGGGCGTGATGCAGAGAGGAGAGCAGTCGTGTGGGCTTGGAAAACAAGAGGGCTGGGCGGCGGTACTCACAAGCCTACGCCGTGGCGTGGCTGCTGCCCTCGCTTCAGTGCTCATATGACCGTGTGAGGGAGAGGTGGTGTGTCGTTCTAGAGTCTGTACGAGTCTAGCAGCTAGGCAAACGACAAGTGCGTTATCGGCACCAAGTTTTGCATCAATTTGGAACTAAAACAAATTAAGCCGATACATTCCAAGTGAAATACCATTCAGTATCACTTGTGTCGGTGACACTGTCAGCCAGCACCTGCCATGCTATGAGTTTATCGATGATTTATTGGACGGCTTTTAATTTGAGTTGTCCGGCGAGAAACATGCTGTTGACCGCATCGACTTTCTTGACACGATATGACGGCATCCGTTAAATTATATTGTGAACCAGTGTGGAATTTTTGACGCACGATATGATTTTTTCATCCCATATTGGGAAACTGAAACATTGGAAAAACGGAACTTTTTTCCGGGACATTCTATGCATAATTTACCTCTTGTTTCTTAATTGGAATAAATTCCAACCACTTGTAGATAAAATATTGTCTGGTGGTCAACGTATTTTGTTATTTATTGACAAATTCGAATTTAATTGACAAATCTCTGAGCCTTTGTCCATGCTATATTTCTGAGCATTATTAAGTAATTGGTATGAACTGATTGACAGCATCACAGCAGTTATATAATTTGGTTTCGACTCCTCAGAACGCCTGAACATTATTAATTCTTCTATTGGCAAAGAAATACGAGTTAGATGCTTCTAAATTATTGGAGTCTATTTCATCTGTAACAGATACAAGGTGCCAAACTATATTGATTGAATTTAGTTTAATTTTGTTGCACATGCACACATTTTGAAACATTTTAAACTCTTTGTGAAGCAAATCATTATTTCAGTCTCTTTTTTTGGGAGGCAGTTCAAAAATGTTCGTTAGTTGCAGCATTAATAATGACTTGACCTCACGCTACTTCGGCACTCACTCATGCCCTTATTACCCATCGCATGAGCATCGTAAGCTACCCGATTATTTTTTCTTTCATTATTAATATTAAATGGTCTGGTCGTTTGTTCACTTGCTATAGCCACAATTTGAGATAAGAAGAGAACTCTGTTGTTCTTCGAAACTTTTATTGAACATTTATCAGTATCCAGCTCCTCTGATGTTCTAGAATAGGGCATGCGACAATATAGTTACGATCAATTTTGGGGAAAAGTTATGTTCGAAATACAAAAAACTGATTCATTATTGCAACTTGTTTAATTTGAGAAGAAAGCTAATGACATAGCCTGTATTTCACTGAAGAAAAACTTCCTCTAAAATATTATTACGTTACTTCACAACCTCAGTTCATAGAAAACTTTGCATCTTTACATGAAAGGATGAAATTGTTGCCGTTTATGCTAGACGACTATGCAACTAAGCAACAATTCTTTCATTTGCAAATATTTCATGTGAAACGAAATGACAGCATATTCGGTCCCCACCTTTTCGCAGAAGCCTACATCAGATATGTTAACCTAAACATATTGTTGCCCTTTATTTTACCCCGCATACTTTTAACAATAGCGATGGATGTCGATAAATAACTTTGGCGCTATAGCAGCTGTTGGCCGCATGCTTTGTCAGCGGAAAATCGGCATGTGCCTATTAATTTACCCAATGAAATCCATTTCAACTTTAAATGACAGTGGTAAACTTTGCTCAATGACCGCCGTTCCCGGCACATTTACCGGGGAAGCACGACTGTAGCATTTGATGCATGAAATAAATCTGCTCCAGCGTGACAGTAATGCATACTTATAACTTTTGTGGACTAACCCCAGAATAAAGTTGCTTATAATCCAGTCTTCCTATTTTGCTCTTAAGATAATTATTCTTGCATGCATTATAATTATTTTTGGTGATTCCTAAGCTGCACAGTCAAACATAAGAGGAAAAAAAGGACATAGTTAACTCTTTCTTTTGTCGGCTGATTCATTATTGCACTGTTGTCTCTGCCAACAGTGCACACACATGTCATTCAAGTATAGCATTGACAGCTGACGACGCGGTATAAGCTGACGCTCACACTAGTAGAAGCCTATAGTTAATCACATATAGCACATAGCCTATAGTTAATCTCAACTAAACCTCACGCTACCGCCCACTGTCGTTTTTGTAAAATCTTACTAGCCTATATCTAGTGACTATGCAGGAGCATATGTTCAGTCTTAAAATGCCTAGCAAACTACGGACCAGGCAATAAGTCCAGCAGCTATCTCAATCAATTCGTCAGTTATGGAAAGATCGGGTTCCAAAGGCCGGATCCCTTCTGAATCAAGTCACGAAAAGTTCAAGAAGCGGCAACAGGCCATGGGCCTATTTCTTCAGCGCCGACACTTCTATTCTATTCTAGTCTCAGCTTATTACCCATCGAATAAACTTCATAAGCTAACCAATCATTTTCTTTTTTTTCAATATTAATATTAATTGGTCTGGTTGCTTGTTTACTTGCTATACACATTTGAGGTACAAGAGAGAACTCTGCTGTTCTCAAAAACTTTTAATTTAACATTTATCAGTAATCAGCTCCTTTGATGCTCTAAAATAGGGCATGCGACAATATAGTTCGATCTATTTTTGGGAATATTTATGTTTTAATTCCAACAAATTTTCCGTAAAATTTTTTAGAAATACACGGCCCCGATATAATCTGAACTTATATATAAAGTAATAGAATTAATGTCATGTTGTTGAATGAAATAAAATGAACATCAACACTGGATATGATTCATCCGGTACCCAAAGTACAATATTTTATTCTATATTGCAACTGAACAAATATTTAGAAACACCACATAGAAAATCTCGTTTAATCTCTTTAATCATAGATCTCGTTTTAAGCAATTAATCTATGAGCTCTCTAAAGACAACTATTTAAAACAATAACACTTGCTCACTATTTCGAAAGGTCGATTCCTTACGAGACATTAAAGAAATTGAATAACTATGAAGCTGGTCTTAGCATAGTAATGTAGTATAAAAAAATAAACTCAGTACTCACTACAGTGAGTGACAGAACGGATTTTCTCGTCGACGAAAACGGCATGAAGTCTCGGACGGACAGACAGACAGACGGACAGACAGACGGACTTGGCGAGCACAATAGCGCCTTTTTTTCCATAAGTAAGAAAATTCGCTAAAAACTGTTTTCATTTTCACGATTTCTTGATGACGGACGCTACTGAATTTTAACTTGTTTACGCAATCCAGAATGAGAATGAGTGCACGTCACTCTATCATGGCCCATGCCGTAATTTTGGCATTGCTGAATATGAACTCTGTGCTCGCGCGTGTGCAATAACCTAAGTAATATAGAATAAAAGATTAGCGACGAATTATTACGCTTTGGAAGAGATTACGGCGAAGCAGAGCGCCGGTCTCGCTAAGAATACTTCCTGAGAATGGGGTACTTCGAACTCCGGGCAAGGCTTGCCGCTATGAATTGATTTTTATTTACCATATCTCAAATTCTCGGTGTTATAATCGCATACATTTTGCAGATAATTAAAAATATATTACATGATCCAATTTAAAATTTGATAATTATTTAGTAAATCTGTGTATTTTATCCTCTTAAATATTTTAGTATTAAATGCAAGTTTACAAAAATATATAAAAGAAATTTGTGTTTTTTGCCTCGTTTTAACGTTTTAATTGAGGAAATATAAGAAAATTAATTGTTCTTCACAGTGGGACTTATATGCAATTAAAATAAACGATCAGGTTTCGATATTATCGACCGAACGTATTACTGTGAGTTGAATAAGTTTGAGTTTCAACCCTCGAGGCTAAATGCCAGTCAAGTTTATTTTGCGTATTTCTCGCACCATTGGGAGTCGCGTATCTCCCATCTATGGACCAGCCTAAAAGAAAGCCCAAGACTCCACGACAGAAAGAAGGATTCTTCTACGATTATTTTCGTCGCTTCGAAGATCTGGTGTTCTGGAGATGAGGCGGTCGTTGCTGATGATCCTTGTGTTGCTGTTCGCGATCGTTGTACGATCCCTGGCCTCTGCCCTCTCCAGCTTCGAGGCCTCGGGTAAGTAGGTAAAAATGACAGAACTCACTTTAGGCGATTGGATACCTGACCTTTTAGCTGCCATTTCACTTCAATGGTGAAAACGCGACGAAATACATGGGGCTTTTTTGCATTTACTGGCGGGAGGGTAACAGCCGTTTAGGGCATACGTTGTTTTCTGATTTAAATTATCGAAAATAATTGCTGGATTTTTGCTCGAGGCTTAAATAATAAGGGTCAGTATAACTCAGTTTAATGCATCCATTTACTTAATTAAAGTAATTTTATTAGTATAGCTCTACAACGTCACTGAGAGGTTTATGATTAGAATTTGATTGAACCATTACGCGTTGCAGAACTTCACGGATCCAAATTGATTCGCGTTGGATAAAAAATTCTGAAAATTCTTCGATTTTGCTTACCGGGCTCAAAAAACCCTAGCGGAAAAAAAATCATTCAATGACTTATACAATTATTAAAAACATTTCTCAAAAAGAGTTTTCGCTGACTAAAGCTAAGATTGAGGAACAGGAGAAACATTTTTTTAGCTGCATGCCGCCAGATGCTTTTTTATTGACCAGCACTTGATAGCTATAAAATAGTTTTTTAAACAGAGACTAAAGTGTCTAGTAAGGCCCTGACCTGAAAGTATACGAATGTGCCCAGCGATCCTTCTGAAAAAACTTAAATCTAATTTTTCCAGCATCCCTTAATTGGTTTTTTTATAGAAGAAACGTATTTTTTAATTGCGTATAATAATTATAATTGCGTTCTTTTTCAATATAAGCATAAAATAAATTTTTAATCGTATTTATAAGTCATTTGATTAAACTTAAAAAAAGTGCAGAACGAATTACGTCCATCAGCATTATCAGCCTATATAAATAGAGTTTGGAGCCTTCTGGTGCACTGAACGGAAATTGAGGGCGTCAACTGAATCCGTCGATAATCTGAATATCAATGCTTAGAAATGTTGAATGTGCGTCAAATTACTTTGGATGAATGCATCCGATGAATAGAGTGGAATGTTGAAATTACAGAGTTCACAGTCATACATACACAGCTCAGAGACTGCTGTCATCACATTCACAGCTCAGAGACTGCTGGCATCACATACACAGCTCAGAGACTGCTGGCATCACATACACAGCTCAGAGACTGCTGGCATCATTCGGTCGATACGCAATTTTCTGGCTGACTCAATCAGCAGCAGGGATTCAGGCAAGAGGTTTGGGAATCGTTTGGCTTTTTCCGTCGTGGAAGGAAAAAAAAAATTCCGACGCAATCGTTTGACCAGAATTAGTAAAGCTAAGTGTCAAGATGTTGAGGCGTGTCAACCAAAAGCAGATTATCTCAACGAATTTTAGTTTATATCCCTGATAGGTATTTTATGTTCCTTATCAGATATATATAGTATTATATATATATGAGCGGTAGTAAAAATTTTTCATCGTAAAATGCTTCAACAGTTCTCCATTTTCTGTGTGAATAATGTGTATTTCTCGTTTGAGTAAAAAACTTGAGGGTGTGATATGTTTTAATTTCAGGGTAAGTGAAGAATTCCTTTCCTTGGTCTCGATATATTATCACCACGTAAATTATATTATTTAATGCATTTTATGTCGAAAGCCGTACGAAAGTTAAAATTTCGTCACTGATTCATCACCTAGAGCGAATTTTAATAGCATCATAGATCAAATGACAGGCATAATGATCGTCATTAAAGCTCTAGGCTGCGAGTCACAAATTATGGGGCGATCAAATGATTCACAGAAATGTTTTCAGTTTGCTATTAATAAATTCCCATGTACGTGTGCTGCTCTTCTCACGCAAAAAAGCTTGCCTTAAACTTTTTTCTGTCACTTAAGTAACCATTTTATGCCATCAATCTAAAATTGGCAGTTTGACTAAATTTTGAAATTTCAGTTATAAGTATTTATTTCATCGCATAATATAACTGTAATCAATTCCAATCGCTCCAATTGTTCACTGATATAGTGCGGCGATATTTATAGCCTCGTGAAGTATGTTTTAATTTCAGAATAAGTGAAGCATTCCTTTTCTCGGTCTCAATATATTATCACCACGTAAATTATAATATTTAATGCATTTTATGTCGAAATCCGTATGAAAGTTAGAATTTCGTCACTGATTCATGTTCTAGAGAGAATTTTAATAGCATTATAGATCAAATGAAAGGCATAATGATCGTCATCAAAGCTCTAGGCTGCAGGTCGCAAATTATGGGGCGATCAAATGATTCACAGAAATGTTTTCAGTTTGCTAAAAAAATAATCTCCCATGTACGTGTGCTGCCCTTACACACAAAGACTTGCCTTAAAAATTTTTTTCTGTTATTTACGTAACCATTGTTTGCCATCAATCTAAATTTGGCAGTTTCATTAAATTTTGAAATTTCAGTTATAATTATTTATTTCATCGCATGATATAACTGTAATCAATTCCAATGGCTCCAATTGTTCACTGATATAGTGCGGCGATATTTATAGCCTCGTGAAGCCATTGAAACGAAATTGACGACTCGTTATTGATTGTAGCTGAGATATGCTGTGCCGTGACAAAGAATTGATCGAGATTCGGGCGATCGATGACAGCTTTTTGAGCCTTTTATGACGTCAGTAATCACGAAAGCACCTTAATGCAACCTTAAGATAAGTTATGTATAAGAGTAAATAATATGCTTGATCGCTAATGTTGTTTTAATGTTATGTGTAAATTTACTTTGGCTATCAAGAAGCCCAAAAGACTTACGGAGGAATTCGAAATACAGTTTCAAATTCAAAGTGATAATTTTAGCCCTAACAAGCTCATCACGAATAACCACAATCATTACCAAGCAATCTGCTCTCTAGTAGATATTTTGTTCAATTTGATAATTTTGATAGTTTGTTCAATTTTTGATAATTTGTGTTCAATATTATTATTGTTCTTGAACATGCAATGCCATTCTGTTCTCGTCATATACGGCTGTCTAACTTCAGATTTCCAATAGACTGACTTGTTCAGTTAAATGTCAGCTTTAGCCTGGCAAGAATTTCGGCCTGACTGCCAGAATCAGCACATCGCATGTCAGCAGCTCGCTGCCATCCAATANACTTTCCTCGCGCTGCAGTACATGAGTTAAGAAATATGGTTATCCTATGAATAATATAAGAATTATTAGAATTAAGCATTCCATAATTCTGTAGCGAAGAAACTTTCCTCGCGCTGCAGTACATGAGTTAAGAAATATGGTTATCCTATGAATAATATAAGAATTATTAGAATTAAGCATTCCATAATTCTGTAGCGAAGAAACTTTCCTGGCGCTGCAGTACATTAGTAAAGAAATATGGTTATCCTTTGAATAATATAAGAATAATTAGAACGAAGCATTTCATAATAAGCTACAAAGAAAGTAGAGAAAGATTTTGTAATTGTATAGATACAGTTTTTATTATTCAGAAGGGAATGAGGTGTCTTCACCAGCGTGTATGCGCTCGCCTTGGTTCCGTCATTTGGTCAGGGTTTTGCTTCCTAACTTTTTGTAGACAGAGCTATCAAGAATGGAGCACAGATTCTTGTTTACACTTGATATTTTTAAATAAATTGAATAAGCTTTATTCATTTATTCCTAAAATTTAAAAATTTTAAAGAGCTTTACTTAGAATTTTCAGAACTGTTGTTTGTTGTTGTCAGAAACTGTTGTTTGTCTTCCAGTTATGACTATCAATGTAAATAATTTTTAATTCATTACTACCTTTTTGCCACATTTTTATTGCATTTATTTTTGACACATTTTTATTGCATTTACCGCCTTTTTTGCCACATTTACTGCTAATTTTTTGCATTGACCACCATCGAATTTTAAATTTCAATCCCATAATAAAAACAAACAAAGCGCTATTGAGCATTAATCATCTAAAAATGTTGCCTATATGAAATTAATGAACTTATCATTTGGGGTAAATTAAAATTAGACAAACCTCAAGTAACGTGCAAGAAAAATTACATGACATTACGCGATGGTCAATTTTCAGTCACAACCTCTGTTATCAGGGCTCCACGAAAAACTGACTAACATTCATTTGAATAAATCATTCTGTTAAAATAAAACGCTTGCCAGAGCCATGGTTATCCTAACTGTGGTAATTGTGGCAATATATTTATCTTCCACGTTAAGCAATAGAGATGTAACTTCAGGTTGCCCAGTGCAGCATTATGGCGCAGTAATTTAGCACTTGCACGGCCGTTGTCATGAAGGCTACACGCAAGCACCTACACGCCATGCGAGGCGTGTCACACTAATGCAGAACATCCAACCTATTCTGGACATGTCGCCCACTTGGATAAATTAGGTCACGTCTCTAAAATACTTTTTCTGTAGGTGTGCTCGATGCTGTATTATTGATGATAGTAATTCACTTCAGTCACCGTAGCCGCAAATAACGACCTGTTCTGGCTCCATAGTGCACACTGTTAGAAAAAAACGGCGAAAAAACGGTGAAAAAACGGTCACATTGGCGTTCTAGTGGCCGGTCGCCCCGTGAAAATAAACTGATTCGCCGTTTTTATCAGATGTTTTACGTATTTCTAGTGTTAAATTAGAATAAAAACGGCGACACGGTGTTTCTTTTTCATATGTCTTGTTTCCGATCCTGGAATAGCTTGTGTGAGTATCGGATTTACAAAAAGAAAACATTCTCATTAGATAGGAAATCATTAACTCATATTTACTTGTTTACTCTAATTATATTTCTTCATAATGAAATATTGATGCCGCTGTTGGATTAAGATTTTATTAGCTCATTTTTAAGCCACAGAGCTTATGTTTTCTCGAAATATTGCTTGTGTTATCAAAGCGTTGTTTTGATAACTCCGTTTGTTTTAAAAGATGATTGAATGACGATCAGTCATTAACTTCGATTGTTTGCTTTATAATTACGAGAATGATGATATCATTTGCACTATTTTCCAAGCTATTTGCTTTGTATGATGATTATAAATGAAATCTCGTAAGC